TAGTGAAAATATTTATTTACAAAAAGCTTTAGCTAGTTAGTAAAATATTTGAGAACATTGTTTACATGTGCATTCATAATTAATGGCAAGAAACAATTATTTCAGTAAACTTGTACTCTTTGTTCGGTAACACAGCAGAATGAACTATTTTATTAATTAAATAATTAATTAAATTAATTAAGTAAAAACTTTATTTTATACAAAATAATGGCACACATTCTTATTTTATAAAGTACATAAAGTATACGTTGTGTTAATTACATGCAATCAGTTTTAAATGTATGTATGTTAAGAATTATTCTATTAATACTTACAAACATTCTTTATAAAAGAATACATTTGGCTCAAGACAACTTTAATATAAAGAGGAAATAAAGCGTAATGTTAGTTGAAACAAAATTCGTATTCCTTAACTTCATCGACAATAGTCTTGTAATTTTAAGTGAATACAAAGTTTATAATAGGCAAGGTTAGAAAACTTCACAAGTAATTTTACAAATTTAAAATAAGTTTTTAAGTGTCATAAAATATGAAGTTGTGGCTTTTTCTACATGTCATTATCTTTTGTGTGATTTTACTAATCAATTGATTTTGATCACACTTATCTATGGTAGTAGAAATTATCAGAGAATAAAACAATGTTTTGAAGTCTATATAGTTTGCAGCATCAGAAAAATTGAGAAAAGCACGAATTAGTTTTAATCAGATATTTTTCTTGGGTCTTTTGCAAAAGAATATTTTCTCACCTACTATTCTTTGTGTATTTATTTTGTTTTTATTAAATACAGTAATAAATTATATAATACTGAAACTTATGTTTTTCAATTCACATGTTTTTAACATACAATTAAAATGTTTTTTTTTCCATTTTTGGTTACATTACAACACTTTAATTATTTATACATTTAAATGTATAATTGAAATTTCCCTATATTTCTTAGTTAAGTAACATTGCAAACCCGTAATTATTTCATGTACTTTGTTTCAAATTCAGTTAATAAGTGGGTTCAGTTAGGTTGTGTAAAATTAAGTAACACAGTTTTGTAAAACGTTACTAACATTGTTATACAACAATTTAATGGTCTTGAGGGCTAATCCAAAGACTAATTTTTTATCATGATTGATTTGTAGCAAACGGATTGATGTTTAAATTAATAATTACAACTTACGTCAATCAATCCAGTTATGTTAATGGAGGACACACGTTTCGACCTTTGGGTCATCTTCTGCTCCGCTGTTGCACTAGGTTGTTTAGTCGTATAACTTTGCCTAATTTTTTAATAATTAGGCGAATTTCATTCTTTTTTTTTGCTTTAGCATTTAACTCAAACAGCTTAGCATATTTCGATGTACATTTTACTATCTAATTTGTTTATTATTTACACTTTCATTAAAAGGAAACAATTGAAGGTGCGAATACATTCCTTGTTCTTTGTTCAATATTCGTTTTTGTGAGGTAAAGTTTATATTTTCTCCCATATAGTTTCCATCACAAGTAGCATAAAATGATTAGTCATGTTTCTTACCTGTGTGTGAAATTAAATTCCAGATCCTGAAACGTCACAAAACCCTTTGTTTTCTTACTAATCGTGATGTAAATTGTACACATTAACCTGTTAAACATCCATCGTCCCTGAGACCAACAGATCACTCCAATGTTTTACACTTGGATGTTGCCATGTTTGATAGCTATGTGAGCGTTGATGTTGCCTTTCCGATTGGACACATAGTTGCAGTGAGGACATCGGAACGACGGAGGGACGCCACACTCCAGACGGTAATGTCGCTTCATACTGTGGAAATGGGAGTAACTGCGGTGACAGCGGGGACAAAGATGTTTACGGGGCTCTGGATCTTCTAGGTCTGTAAATAGGTGAAATGTAAGCGGAGAAGCGATATAACGGATTTATAGCAGAATGGTTGCAAAATAAATCTGCTTTCTCTTTACGTGTTGGGAAATAAGTTTTTGAAATTTGGAAACTGAACGTCTTATTAGAACGGTAATTTACTCAGAGAAATTTGCATTCTATCCTTAGCAGTGTTAGAAATAGGGAATGTAGGGTCATTTTAATATTGACACAATTTAGACATTTTCCACTGTACCTACTTCTGTTTATCTCTATACAACCTGTTGCATAAAAAACATTGTTTCGGAAAAAAATGTTGACCAACAATACTATATTTGCCATGAAACAAGAGCATGAAATACCTCAGACTTTTTGATTTAGCAAAATAGTAGTGTAAATGTTATCATTGACCCTGACTAACATTGTGTGAAAGTAAGTAAAATATTTGACTGGAAATAAATGTTTTAATAGACCTAATTGATGATACCTTGAAAAAACTTGAAACTTACTGGAAAAGATGACAAAATTGAAAATAAAATAAAAAATAATTTTTCCAGTCCATATTAGAATAATTGATCTAAGAGTAAAAGTGATAATAAAGGCATGCTTACGAATTATACAATTTAGTTGATTTGTATAGTTATGTTTACAACAAAAATCAAGCTAGGCAAAAATTCCTTATTTAAATTCATTTGTACTGAATTTGAATAATGTTTAACTTATTTCGTTCAATTGATTTTTATTTTGTTCAGTAATATGAAATAAATTTAATTATTTTTTAGAAGAATATATTGAAGGAAAACTTGAAGCCAAGCAACATATTTTTTCAGGCCCAAAACTAATAAAACATAAACTTTTATTCTGAAACGTGTGTAGATAAAATAAATGCTGAATAAATTCCTATAAATACATCCAATAATGAAAGTAAATGCAACATCTCACTACAGTAAAACATTTGATAGATAATTGAACATACTAACTCACCATCTCGTAATAAATTTTGTTTCTGTAGTAGTTGATGAATTAATGAAACAAAAAAACACAATGTAAAATAATTGTTTTAGACTTACATAAAAATATGAAATCTAAACAGTTTGATCTTTGAACTGAACAATAATTTTGTTGACATGTTTCGTAGAATTACATGTGTTAAAAAATTGTAAAAAAGAAAATGTATGTAAATGTTGATAGTCATTATTTTGACACAATATTCACATTACCAAGCTTCCAACCACAACTATATAATTTAATTGTAAGTTACCATTTGACTAACCTAGTAGTTTTAGGCACAAGCTTTTAGCTTTGTGATAATATCTTGGCCCAGGCATGTTTAAGAAGCCAATATGCTGTAGGTCCACCTATTAGGTACCATTCTCCAGCCTCAGCAAATTTGCAGACTAGATGAATTTCAATTTGCCTGATTAGATTTTCATAAAAATATTTCAGATTTATTCCCTATTTAGATAAAGTTAGGTTTAATGAGTACATATTTGCTACTAGGGAACATAATGAGTGTTTTTATTGGCATGTACAATAGCTTTTAAATAAATTAATATGCCAAATATGACAAAAATAAATCTATATTTAAGAGAACTACCTACAAAAATTTACTTATTCTCCATGATAATAAAATTCAAATTGTAAATTCAAAGTTTTTTTTTTATTTTCTCTGTAACTACTGAGTGTTTAACAACACTTCAAAAATAAAATGAAATTATTTGTTTTTTGATCTCCACATAATGGTTTATAAAGAAAAGCTAAACGTTTGTTTTGGGGGTAAAAAATGGGAAATAAATTTTCACCCCATAAAACCCCTTATAAAAAAACTCTGTTAACATATTCTAATTACGCTTAGACAAAAAGTTCTTTGTGTACTTTAGAAGTTTCTCCGCCAAAGGGTGTCCAATAATAACTATTATTTATAAATATCACAATCAACATTTGTAGCAGTTTATTTTTATACCTTTATACCTTAGTTTTGAAGATTTGTAGTACACATATCTAATTTGTAACATGACAAAAAACTGTATTCATACAAATGTTTTACCTTATGGTACTCTTGATATTGTAGTGGATTTTACTAATTGGGCTGTAAAATCTTCCGAATTGCTTTGAAATGAATTGTTATATTTTTACTAATATAATATTTCTCAAAGATGGTAAGGAATTAGGCAAATAAATATAGAAATCAATGTTAATTAGACAAAGTATATTTTTGTTTATAATAAATAACCCAATAATGTAGCTATGGTTAAATCTAATATGCTAACAACCTAATTGTATTTTTAAATTTGTTTAAGAAAATAAACACAATTTAAATTACAACTTAAAAAAATATGCAACAAGTCCTCTCCTATGAAAAATCATAATGTCCTAGAATATGTAATGCAGACAGCTCTAAAAAATAAATATAATTGCAAAATTTAATATTTTAATTGAAATAAATAAATATATTATAGATTTTTATTTCACAACACGATTGAATAGAAACTATTACATTGAATCCTAGTCTACAGTTTTTGCTCTTTTATTTTATACATAGGTAAACTGTGTGACAGAAAATATACAAGTTATATGATTTTAAACGTAGTAATATTACAAATATTCAACAATAGGTATTCCTTTCAAATAGTTAATTGATTAATCAGTACTAATATTATTAATGAATTACTTAAACTCAGTAGAAGTTTTTTTTTATAAACATGGTTGGAAAATACATAGAATTTTTTCAAAACTGTATATAGATGAAAGCCAGAAAAATTTACAAATAAATTACAACAAAAGTATGATTAACACATTGCTTACACATTGAGAAATTAAATATTTCATACAAATATAATACATATGTAAATTTGAAATATCAAATGTAACAAATAAATACATAAACACCATTAATTCATTTAGTTTTAACCAAAACATCTTTGAAACTGTTATTATTGAAACTCTAATTTGTAAGACATTCATTTATTTTCACACTGAGAACATATTGTAGTAATGGAGATAAGATATGAACATATTTACTACTAAAAAAACATAAAACACATAAAAAATAAAATGAGCCATAAAAATGATATATTTGATTTCAAATGGTCATGCAAATAGAATAAGATACAGCTGACACATTTGATCGTTGAATCAGTGCAACCCAATTTTTAAAACTGAAATATGGTGCCTCTAAGTCAAAATGCCTGATTAGAGGTTCCTATACACTCTAATCTTTTGGCATCAATCCAGATAACAATGTTGCATAATCTCCAATAACACCACCATCTGCTGTAGACGCTGGCGTTGTTTGGAATGGATCTCTTCCAGCGTTTGACTCCTCAATGGAGTAATCAGGATCTACATATTCTTCCTTCACTGTAACCGTCTCTATAGCATTCCCAGGGAAGGGCGGCCCTTCTCCTAGGTCTTCAGTGGTTTTTCTAAAGGTTTCAGAGTTTTCAAAGCCAGTAGGTGTGGTCAATATTTCTGAGCTTTCAAGAGTATCACTTGGCTCCTGCTTAATTGTGACCGTCTCTATATCATTACCAGAGAACGATGGCTTTGAAAAGTCTTCAGTGGGCTTTGCCAAAGTTTCAGAGTTGCCCTTTGTGGATCTCACGATTTCAGATTTTTTTGGCTTATTGCATGGAGCTTGAGAGATGGTCGCACTTGGCATTTTCTGAGGTTTAGATTTCCTACCACGCGATTTTTTGGGAGTTGATGTTTGGCCGAGTGCAAATTCCTTCACTTTAACTGCCCTTATAAGATACCCAGGGAAGGATGGTCCTTCTCCTGGGTCTTCAGTGGTTTTTCTAAAGGTTTCAGAGCTTACAAAGCCAGTAGGTGCTCTCAATATTTCAGAGCTCTCAAGGGTATCGCTTGGCTCCTCTTTTACAGTGACCATCTCTATATCACCAGGGAACGATGGCTTTGAAAAGTCTTCAGTGGGCTTTGCCAAAGTTTCAGAGTTCTTAATGCCCTTTGTGGATCTCACAGTTTGAGATATTTTAGACATATTGTAGTGAACTTGAGGGATAGTCATATTTGGCATTTGCTGTGATTTAGGTTTTCTACCTCGAGATTTTTTGGGAGTTGAAGTGTCATCGGAAGTATATTCAGGATCATCTGGGTCGTATTCTCCCATATCCATAGGTAAAGAAGAAACTGAGAGGGATTGTTCAGGAGCAGGAAAGTTAACTTTTTCTTCAGGATGGCAAAGATCATAATGTTCCAACAATCGACATTTGCGGACAAATACCTTCAAGCAGAACACACATTGAATCCTCTTGCTGGGATCTGCAACAAATTTGATGAAATTGAAATATTTGATTGAACTTGAATTTCTGCTTTTTGTGGATAGACAATGGAAGTAGACATTTCACATTTAAAAAATACATAATGTGATAAATATGAATTAGAATAATTTCTATTGAATTAAAATCAAAGTAAAGTAAAAACAATTCTTTATTCAATATATTGTTACATTATATGAACTTGAATAGAGTCACAAACTAAATACAAATAATAATTATATTATTTAAAGAATGTGTATTAATATTTTTTTATATCAGCAGATTTATATGTATTTTAGAAAGAGTTATGCAAGATATGACATTTTAAAACAGTGAAAGCTAGAAATATAAACTTAATACCTAAATGTTCTGAAACATTTGAGGTAATGATAAGTTTCAAATTTGAGTCTAAAAAAATCATAGATAGGCCTACAAAGAATTATCAAGTAAAAGTCACAGACAGATAGCTAAGTACACACTTACGAACCACGTTAAAAACAGAAAATATGGTTTTCTGAATAAAAGGAACAAATTTACAGAAGAGAAGCTCATTATTGCATCTAATTCTGGAAGTGTGATAAAAATCTGTGTTTTAGAATACCATTTGATTAAAATCAATAACTTTTCAATGAATCCCAGACTCTGTAGTGATACCAATGACTTTTCAGTGAATTTCCTGATCCCATAGTAAAATCAGTGACTTTTCAGTGAATTTCTTCACCCCAGAGTAAAATCAGTGTTGTTTCAGTCAATTTCCTGAACCAGAGTAAAATCAGTGACTTTTCATTAACTTCACCAATAGACTCCCCAACGGTCCATATAGTCCAATAGGCTAGTAAAGAAAGGTCTCTAGTTAAAAATATCCCATATTTGAACATTTTTCAAATTAATGCTACAGCAAAATACATAAAACCCACCGTGTTTCCAAAGGATGTGGCTCTTGATGTTGTCCTTGCGGTTAGTTCTGTATGAACAGTGTGAGCACTGGAACTTTGGCAGCTGCCCACATTCAAATTTGAGGTGTCTCAACAGAGATCCCTGGTGCATATAAACCTTCCCACACAAGCTATGGGGACAGGTGTATTCCTTCTTGCCAGTTTTGGGGTTCGTGCTCACAATGGTGGTGTTTATGTCTCGTAAGAACTTCTTGAACAATCTCGGATCGAACTCGCTATCCATGCTTGCCTCACTGGACCCACTGACAGATCCGCGGTTCACTTTCTCATATCTCTCATCTGAAAAGAAAAAAGTGTGTTAGTAGATGACAGGAAGTGTTTTGGATAAACATAACTGTTTAAACATACTTCCTGATTTTCATCCTTACGAATTAGCTAAAGAGAGTTTTAGTTCCATTTAATTCATTTAGAGGACATTATTGTATACTATTATTTCCTCTGTGTGGATGCTAGATTCCTGAAAAAGTTTAAATACTTGCCATCAGGCAATCCACTAAATTGATTAAAAATAATTTTTTTGCCTAATAGCAGGTATACAAGCTAATTATGAACAGTAGATTTTTCTATAACCAAGCAGTAAAACACACATCATAAAATCAACACTATAAGGGAATGAAAATTTTGTCAACACTAACGCTAAACACTAGGGGAGCGAGCTGGTGTAGTGGTTAGAGCGCAAGACTTCAGTCCTTGAGGTCCCGGGTTCGATCCCCACCAAGTCACCAATGGATTTTATCTAAGTGATAATGCCGCAACTCCTAGGTCTAGCCTGAAGTAATGTGAAAAACAATCCCAGGCAAAAAAAAAAAAAAAAAAAAAAAAAAAACGCTAAACACTAGGCTACAGATTTGATAAAGAGATCATACGATGAGAAGTCTACCCTAACTATTTAAAGTCGATGACTTAATGTAGTGAGTAAAAGAATCAATGATTATTATCTGACTGAGAGAAAATGGTCCTCAACCGTCTTAGTCAGTAATAAATCTACAAACCACTCAACCCACAATCTGTTTATAGTATTATTAGGGTTTTGTCTTTGTAGAGTCCATACAATTAAACCAATACAAATTTGTGAAAATTATAAGGAAATACCCAATATAATTTTTCAAAATCATTAATTTTTTTAAGTGTTGACATCACATTGGGCCTGCTTGTCAAGCCGGAGTATGAAACTTTTTCAGTAGGTATAAGAGTTGGTTAAAAGCAAGTCAAAAGAAACTTTTTATATTGAAATTTGAATTAGGTAGCCCAAAAGATGTACTGTAGAATGACTAGATTATGTTGTGACGAAAAAAAAAACAAAATATTTAGTGCTACAGTACAGTACAAAAACGATTTCCAACTTTCCAAAGGGGTCAAAACAAAGATACCTCGAGAGCTGGATCTCTACATTCTTATTGCCTCAAAATCAGCTTCATTTTATTTACCCTTATTTTTCACAATCTAAATTTGAACGTTAATAATATTTAAAAAATGGTGTACAAATTATACTGTAAAACATATTGTTACAATAAAAAGAAATAATTATAAATTAGGTAATTAGTTTTTAACTAAACAATGTAGTTGGTGTCCCAAACCATAACGATAATGTCTATGCATTTTGAAATACTGTATGGTAAAAAAATCTCAAAATATAAGTAAAAATAGATTTATTTTTCAAGCCAAATAACAATGATTGGTTTAAAATATGCTAGTTTTATATTAAGTACCTGCAAATTATCAATACAAGAGCCATATCAAGAAACATATAAAACAGTAAAATTGTTTTGATTAAAATCATAAAATAACTAAAATTACATGCTTCATATTAAAATAGAGTAAATACTGTACAACACAGAAAAAGATTGCATGAACTAATCTTACATCTAGATTTTAACCACTCATGATGATAAAACATAATATTTACAGAAACAATCAAAACTAAAACCTTTTAAAAACTAAAATCAATAGCACATTTTTTAAATGTGTAAAACCCTCTATACTAATAAAAGACTGGAGCTAAAAAACAAGTGTTTTATTTTATTTTGAAATCCTTATCACATTTTGAAACTACCACCTAATTATCTAATACCATTTCAGCAAAGAAAAACATTATTGCTTCCATTCAGCCAAGACAACTTGTTTTTGATTTAGTGATAATTAATCATGAATTTGTTTTGATTAAAGATTTATTATACTACCTAAAAAAAAAAAAAAAAAAAAAAAAACTGTTCTTCACTTGGCTGATAATATATAAATAGTTGAACTTGGATTTTAAAAATATAGTTCTATTAATAATATATTTTTATATTTTTTTAAAATTAGTAAAAAAATAAAGTTAAAAACATTTTCAAACAATATAAGACAAATTGGCTTCTTGATCATCTGAAATTCACAGAATTTATTTTTGATCACAAACCTAGAATTAGGGTTGTTTGTAACATGTCTTTATTGTAATACAAACTATGGCCGTATCCCAAATCAATGACAATCAAAATAAAAAATAAAACACACAAGTGCAATAATCTAAAATACTATTTACAAATATACATTAAAAAAATATTGAATATTAAAAGTGTGGCAAAAGAGGATTTTAAATTGTACATTCAATTAGTAGGCCTACAATTTTACAATAAATTAAAAAATAAATTTATTTACAAAATAAAAACATTTTGATTGTTATTATTAACTAGACCTAACACATAATTCTAACTTATTTTTTTACAGGGCATTCAACTGTATTCAAACAGCATGGTCTAGCATACCTATCGATGTTGTTATTTGTTCACTTTGTCTTCCAGGATTAATCCATGCAATGAATATAAGATAGGTCAAATAGGTTACCTTTTATCATCTATTACGAGTTAAAATCATTATTGTTCCATTGTCAAAACACCAGACATGTCTTCATATGAAATATTTAAACAACGTTTAAATGACTTATTACAAGAGGAAAATAAAAATTTGATACAAAATTTGGTAATGTGATCTTGACCGGTTTAATGCAACGATCAATAAATCAATAAATTAATAAATTATTTAAGATGGGGACGCCACTGTGTGCGTATTTTAACCTAAATATGAGTGAAGGTTGAGTGTAGGATGAGTGTGGGATGATCATGTAGTCTTGTTAGTGACTTAGGCCAACATATTCCTTAGACACAGCTGTTAATTAATAGCCCATACAGCCAAGGCTACTAAGGGATCTACAGGTTATAGTGGAATCCGAATCACATTTTTCCTTGTAATTAAGAAATTGGTCTAATTATTAGGACAGTAATAGGGATTCGTAGTACTCACTAGTGCGGACATTAATCCACACCAGGGAGCTTCACATCTACAGTGCATGCCTTTAAATATCCACAATTCGTGACCTCCTAGTAGCTGGATTACAGGATGACGCCACCGTCCCAGTCCAATAAGGTCCAACCAAACCACATTAATTGAGGTGGAGTTGGGGTAGTGAACCTTCTGTGATGATTTTGCTTTTAAAATCTATATATTTAATTCCGTAAGCAAATCGGTCCCCACAAAATTTCTCAAGCTAAGAATAAGGTAGCATGGCTCTTGAGGATTCATTTTAAAGTATAAGGTGCAAGGACGGTGGGAAAAATATCAGAAGCGTAAAAAATTACCCCTGCTCTGCCCCACAGGCTATCAAAGATCCAGTAATTTTATAATGAAAGTACTGCTACAGTTTTTTTTTTTTGGTGGTTGGTGACCTCGCATAGATAGATAGACTACGGATCTGTGCGCGTGGAACGAATCCAGCAAAGCAAGGGGTGAGCCAGTACAGTGCGAAGGTGAACTGTACTGATAAATTTTAGTGGCAGTGACCAGGATCCAAACCCACGAAATCACTGCCTTGGGCCCGAAGTCCGTGACACTACCAACTGAGCCACCGACTCACCAAAGTTGGTAAGGTTGGGATATGCTCAGTTGGGTAAGGTTAGATAGGTAAGATAAGGTTAGGTTAGGTGAGGTTAGGTTATGGTCTATATGGGCTATTAATTAACAGCTGTGTCTAAGATATATGTCGGCCTTAGTCACTAACAAAACTACAAGATCGCGGCACTCATCTCCATTCATACTTAGCTTAAAATACCTACTTTGTATGGTCACCATTTAATTGAAAAGTATTAAAGTATATTTAATACTTTTCATTCACTAATGTGTTCCTCTGTAACTCACTTCTATGTGTTTACAGTAATTGAGCACTCTAACAACCAAATCCAATTTAATTCTAAAACATTTAGACAATTTTAACATGGGGACTGTCTAGTTCGATTGGCAAATTTACATATCGTAGTGAGCCGATGCTATGTGCGTGTCCAAGTCCAAACTGCGACTTGCCACAAACTCACACTTGGGACAAGAGAACTCGACGATTACATTGCTGCGGCACTCACTGCGGTGCTTCAACATGGCTACCTTGTATGTAAACCGTTTGCTGCACTGAGAACACTGGTATCGCTGCTGCTGCTGCGGTGATTTTTCTGCTTCAGCGGCTACACAGAAAATTGGTGGTAATTGGTGGCAGAAAATGTTAGATGGTTTTGACCATTCCATGAAATGCCAATGGTATGGAAAAACAAAATAAGTTGTATTTTTACTTTCAGTCTACAGTGATAGCATTTGCCTAAATAAGAAAGATCCTTGAACAATTTTGATGCTTTCAAGAAAATTCTGAATGACTTGGGATGGTTTATTTATTACTGTACTATTAGTTGAGCAGAAAACAAATAAATGGACAGAGAACCATAGATAATTCTGAAGGTGTTGAAAAAAAAATATTGAACATACTCTTTGAAATAGGTCGCATCCATTTCAATTTGATTATGTAGAGAGTTATGTTTACCAATTATTTTTATTTGACGGTTTTTATCCATAAAAAGGAGTTTATTTACAAATTGTTGGTTGACTGGTGTTAACCAAGGCCCCACTAGAAAAACAGGCCATGCTGCCGCGCAACACTAAGTCACAGTGGTGGAGAGTTGTACTAAACTCTTACCATTAAAATCTTACAAACAGCCAGCTTATTTACATAAAACGTATGGGATATGGCAATGAATTTATCAATGAATCTATTCACTAGTGTGACGTCATGGATCCTGCAGCATGGCCTGTTTTTCTAGTGGGGCCTTGTCTTAACCCACTGTGAAAACGTTAGCTAAAATTAGAGAATAATATTTAGTTGACATCACACTCCACTTAACTGGACACAAAATCCATAATTGATTTTACACTAAAATTATAAACGAAACAATACAAAAGTTAAGGCTAATACTCTTGATAATTTAATAGATTTTAAGGATTTAAAAATTTTAAGATAAAAAACTACTATCGCTCAATATTGCTGTCATAGTACTTACCGTGTTTGATAGCAATGTGGGCGTTGATGCTACCTTTTCTGGTAGATTGGAAGTCGCAGAAGCCACACTTGAACTGAGGGGGTCGTCCGCACTCTAGACGTAAATGCCTCGTCATACTGTGCCAGTGCGAGTATAGTCTGTTACACTGTGGGCATTGGTGCTTGGTCTGACCATTAGCGTCGATTATAGTGTTCGCCAGCAAAGTTTTACCTGGAAATATATTGTTTGTATTAGGAATCAAATGGTTTTTCCAAGTCATGTCTATCACTTAATGAGTATTCGTAAAAATTTATACTAGTTAAAGTATTTGAGTTTGTAAAAGTACAAAAAAGTAAAAGGAAAAATAAAAGTATTGGTAAAAGTTTAAGGAAATGAAAAACAAGAGTAAGGTTAAAGTTTTCTATTTTCAATAAACGATAACAATTTTGACTAATTGCACCTACCATTAACAATAGTACCATCATGAACGCTTTAGAAAAGTGGCCCAAAGCATCGGGCCTAAGGCAGCGATGTCGTGGGTCCGGATCCTGGTTACTGCCACTAAAACTTCTCAATACAGTTCACCCTCATACTCCACCGGCTCACCCCTTGCTTTGCTGGATACGTTCCACGCACAGATCTGTAGTCTATGTGGGCGGGCAAATGCATGGTTAACCTCTTTAAAACCTCTTAAAAAAAAGAAACATTAAATCTGTTGTTGGTATGGGATATACTAATATTACATAGTGTTTTATATTTCCAAATATTTGAAGTTGAAATACAAATTTTTAAATTTTATCACCAATAGAAAAGTTTGCTATATGTCATATTTGAAACATTAATTTTTTAATTAAAATGTTTAGGAACACATTTTCAGAAATTCGGAATTCTAACAAAACCCTTGGGACTCAATGGAAAAAGAATGACAACAACAAATCTAGAGGTAGAAAAACATTGTGTATTTAATAAACTGTAATGCATAAAAATATTCTCACAATAATTTGAATTTAAACAATAGAGTAATGACAATATTTGTACAAACTTTAACAGTGATTAAGTGTTTTTTTGCCTATAAAATAGAGGAAACCTTATATAATGAACTGTTTCAATAAAATGTATAGTGCATTTATTTTATTTGATCACACAAGTTCCTACATCCCAAATGTTGACGAGGTAACTTTTATGAATATCAAAAAGTCGTAAATTTGTAGGTTAATTTACAGAACATAAGAACTTTGTCATAAGGTTTATATTTTATTACAACTGACTAAGAATATGTAAGAAGATAATACAAAATTACCACTAAAATAATTTTTCACAAACAGAAATATTGTTCGTACAATATCAAACATGTTTAGCAGTAATAAAATACCCGTGTGACAAGACATAAAAAGGATTTTCAGTCATAATTTTCCTATCAAGCTTTATAAAAAAACGTAGTTCAATTTACAAAATAAATATTTTCTCTTCTATGAAAACAAATCATAACCTCCATAAAAATTTAAACACCTTACACTTTAGCATCGTGTATTATCCAGTAAAGGATCAAATATTTGTAGGCACTTGGTAAAAAATATTCTCAATATATATTAAATGCCTCATTCTTATAAGTTTTATGGGCCAAGGTCTTGTGTTTCATCATGTTTTGCTTGCGGGGGCTCTGGAAGTTGCAGTGGGGGCAGCAATACTGCGGGGGCACCTTACACTCTAGACGGAGATGACTCATCATAGTTGCCTTCTGGGAGAACACCCTGTAGCAGCTGGGACATACGTGCTTAGACACTGCAAATTACAAAATCATCCAATAATTCCCTTACAGTTTGATTTATGTTAGTTTATAAAAACTAATTGCATACAAAAACTTAAGTAAAAGAAATATATAATGGTTAATATTTCTCAACCTTAAGTCCTAAGAAAAGTAGTCAAGGATTACTAGTTTATGGGCATTTTTGGAAAATTATGGATGAAGGAATGAATACACAAATAGCTTATATTCTTGAGTGTGGCGGATTGTGTAAAAATATGATAATAATATATATATGGTTCTTACCTTCTACGCAATCAGGGGTGATACTTCACTACGACCGTTTCGGAGATTCCATCGTCAGGTGCGTAGTGGTACACTAAACTATAGTCTTGTTACACTTAACCCGAAAAGTCTTCATTTGCATTGCCTCAGGGGTTGAATAAATATTAGACTTGTAAAAACAGGACGGATACACGAGAACAAAAACTGACGACCGACTGTCCTCTGTTGTCGGTCGTCAGTTTTTAAACGCACGTGCTCTACATTTTTTCGTGTATTCGTGTATCCGTCCTGTTTTTATAATATTTATTCAACCACTTACGCAATGCAAATGAAGACTTTTCGTGTTAAGTGTAACAAGACTATAGTTTAGTGTACCACTACACACCTGACGATGGAGTTATCTCCGAAACGGCCGTAGTGAAGTATCACCCCTGATTGGGTGAACGGTAAGAACCATATATATTATTATTACAAATAGCTTTCCTACCACTGAATGGGAATGATCATATTACCACACCTGTAAACAGAACGCAAACTAGCTAATTTCCGTTCTAGAGCGGGAATGGACTATTTCAACAAGCTGAATCAGTTGATATCACAGTTAAGAGTTTCTACACCAACTACAGAGAGTAATGTTAACATTAAGTAAGCAAATAACATAACCTGAAAAAATTGTATATACCGTATCACTAAAAAGTTAACCAACATAAAAAGTTATGACAAGTTAATTATGGTGGTAGAAAAAATCTTGTGTGTATTACGAGCACAAAAAGTTGTTGCCGCTCTCAAATTATAACATCAAAAGATTTGTGTGGTCATCTACAGTTCTCAAGCGGCAATAACGTACTTTGTTTTCTTAATGTTCAAATAGCTATACCTAAGAGAAAAATACAAAATGCAATTTATTTGATATTTTGTCCCTAAAAACTAGGGGGGGGGGGGGCACTTTTTCAGAAGGAAGTAATAGGGTTATGTATCCATTATTTATTTCTTAATGTAGTTTATGTTTCTGTTCATCATTCATTGTCAAATACAACATCATACCTTGGTTTAATATGTCATTTTTGAACCCTACAACATTCATACTTAGTTACCACAATAACACACTTTGTGCATTTTAAAACTGAATGTGAGTACAGGATGAGTGCACAATGTAGTCAATTAACTTGTACCATATTTTTCAATCAAGCAATTTAAAAATTAGGAAACAATAAAAAAAAAACACAGATAACAGACTAAAATATATTTATAAAGCAACATTGTAAACATACACTTTACAACATATTGTTCATGATATTTCCCATAATGCTTTTGATCGTTTCTTTGATGGGTGTTTGTTGATGACAGTAGGCCATGTGACGGTTTACGCTGCCTTTACGATGAGTAACGTAAGGACATTGCGGACAGCGAAACGACGGGGGTAGCCCACACTCCAGACGTAAATGTCTCGTCATGCTGAATCTTTGGGAGTAGCAGCGGTGGCAACGTGGACACTCAAACTTGCGCTTTCCATCTACACAATATACTGCGGTAAGTGAAATGAGGATCTAAGTCATGATGAATATTAGGCACTTTATTCTGCATTAATTACATTTTACCACAGGGAGAGGAAATGAATACACAACTTTCTTAAGTTCACGGACCAGGTGAAAATAAAATTAATTATGTTGAAAATTGTGTATGTGCTGCAAAGGATGGATATCTTTTATTGGGTAAGTTGGTTAAGTATATATTTATTCTTCCCTAATGACTTACACTTTGTTCACAATATTAAGGCGCTTTTAGGGGACTTGACAAGTGGACAAATTTACACACTCGAAATAAGCACAATTAAATTGATTTTTCACTCAATTTAAGTAGATAAATGTACAAACAAATGTTATAAGGGTAAAGTTTTGTTTGGTTCTTGCAGAAATTTCAAATCATATAAGTTGTGTTCTATTTTCTCAACAGGCGATATATGTTTAGAAATATGTAGTAGTTTTTAACTATATTGGTTTATAAATTGTACATGTTTTATTATGTGATGAACCAGTAACAAATGAATATTTTGGAATAGGGAAGTAAGGAATATGAAAATAAACAAACACATGGTTTTATAAAATTGTAAAAAATATAAACTTTTACTTTACAATAGTTATCACATTTTTCTTGTGAAGTCTTCTGTTATCACTTACATTGTTCAATAAATGTGCCTACAAACATTGTAAAACATGCAATTTAATGAACTTATAAATAATTTGTTATGAATTAATTAAAACAAAGTAACAGTGACTATTGTCTTCTGTTGACAGAAACAAAATAAAAATATCAAACAAAATATCACTGGACAGTACTATCAATTAACAAAGACATTCCAAGGAACCAACTTAAATATTGACATATAGAGAGCAACAGTAAAAGCACAATCAAAGATAAAAAAAAAACATAGAAAACTATGCATTTATAGGAACCTTCTTACAATGACCATCCTAGTATAGTTTCACAGCCACCTTGTGACTCATACACGTACATTGTCTTGAGTCATATAAACAAACAATTCACATGTTCTTCTAGCACTATAGATGTTTGCATTACTTTATTGTTCAATTAAATACTGTACTTGACTAATTTAGCAAACGTAAAGTGGTTTAATTCGCATACATTCATCTTATTATTGACTTCATAATATTAAGAGTTTTTAATTCATAATTTATCTGCTGGTATAGATAGCACTATATAAATGTTACAGCTATTTTTTTCAAATGTTGAACAACACTAAATTGATTTAGCACATCTGTGGCTGACAGTATCCATTTAGTATGTCACCTTTTGATAGGATGACTACAAGAGTTTACAAGAGATGTCTTAGGTATCAAGATATTTGAACAAGAGAGATTCCCCTATTTAGAAGTTGACGATGATCGACTTCTGACATTTCCGAATGAGAGTCCACTATTCTATGAAAAAGTTAACTTGTGCTGAGTATTGGGGTATATAAACAAGGGTTCACTGTAAATTGCATTTAGAAGTTCACAAGTTTAGCCGAGTGCATCGCCATGTGACGGGTTACATTCCCCTTCCTGTAGGACGAGTAGTTGCAGACCGGACATTGGAAGTTGGCGGCTCGGTCACATTCTAATCTCAGATGACGAAGCATGCTGCTGCGGTGGGAATAGACTTTGCAGCACTTGGGACATGAGGTACAGCCTGGACC